AAAAATTTATGATATTTTAAAAAATTAAATTTTATAAATTATAATATATAATAAATTAATAATAATAATATATTAATATACTATATTAGTAATATAGTAATACAGATATTATATATTTATATAATATAAGTTATATAATTAATATAATATATTATCTATATATATTAATATTAGAGATGTTAAACTGGTTCGTCGTTCGCGAACAGCTTGTGTTATGCTTGTGTTCGGCTCGTTTGTTAAGAAACGAACACGAACACTGACTTCACGAACAATTTCGAACACGAGCTTATTTCAAACAAACTAAGTTTCAAACTCGTGTTTGTGTTCGGTTCGATTACACCCATATATATTAATTAAAAATAAAATGAAAAATATAAAAGAAAATTGGATTGGAATTTTCATCTGTTAAAATTAAAATTTAGGTGTTAGGTATGCATGTAAATTTCCCAAATTAAAAACATTTACTTATATATTACACAATTCTTATATTTTTATAAATCTAATATTTAAACTTTAATTTTGCATGCATACTATATTTTTATAAATCTAATATTTAAACTTTAATTTTGCATGCATATTGCCTAAATTTATTATATTATATTGAAAGTATTATTATTATTTAAAATAAATAAATATACATTTTTATGTCTAAATTCTAAGACAAAAATATTATAATATAAATATAAAGTTAAAATATTAGTATCCACCAAAATTTTCTAAGCAAATATATTTATTTTTAAAACTAAAACAATAAAATGAAATTAATTAAATAAATTAAAAATATTTTATAAACTATGAATTTTTAAAATAAAATTAAAAATCATTCAAATTTAAATTTTAGCAAATTTATCCAAAAATTTAAAGTCTTAGCAGCATGAATAAAAAAGTTATATAAAATGATTCAATTCAATAAAGAAAAAAATAAAATCAAATATAATTAAAAATTTTAAATTCATATTTAAATATCTAACACAAATAATTAATAATATGTAATAATTAGTTTGCTTAAAATCTTTATTTCTTCTTCTTCCTTCCAACAACCTCTACAAGTCTCGCTGCTGTTCTCCTCTTCTTCTTCCTCAACGCAAGACTTCACATTTGGCCCATCTGTTCCGCGATGGATCTCTCAGCCTCCTCCTCTTCTTCTTCCGACCGTTTCTCACGTCGCGCCGCCGTCATCATCCGCCATCTCGGCCAGAATCCGGCGAAAGGTTTCCCACCGCTCGAGCTCTCTCCTTGTATCAGCTATTCACCGCCGGAGAGCTCCGAAAATGTGAGTTTGGACGCCAGGGAGTTGCGGCGGCTCTTAGACGGCCACGATGTGGAGGCGAGGGACTGGGTTTTTCGACTCATGGAAGAGAGCTCGCTGTTCTGCCCCCGACGGCGGGGCGGAAATCAGGTGTTCGTAGCGCCGGATTACAACCAATCGATGGAGCAGCAGAGAGAGATTACGATGAGCAGGATCCAGTTTCTTCTCCAGCACGGGGTGTTCAATGGATGGCTGACTGGTTCGGGGGCGGATTTGGAGATGAGGAAGTTTGCCTTGCAGGAGTGCCTGGGATTATACGATCATTCGCTGTCTGTTAAGCTTGGCGTTCATTTCTTTCTGTGGTGAGTCCTCTTAATAAAAAATTGGGGAAGAATAATTTAAGATTACTTTGCAAATCTATCATGATTTGCATAGGATATTCCCACTTTTGTTTTCATTTCTTTCTTACAATCTGTAGATTTATGTTAAGTTAGAAAGGTTTTATATGTTTATATTCTCTGCTGAGTTTCGGTGGGAACATATAGTTTCTAGGGCTTTTTTGAATTCATGCCTTTCCGTCCAGAAATTCAAGCTTGTAGTTGTTTTGTGCGGCAAAACTTCGGATCGTTTTACTGCACTTTCTGCAGATTCTGAATTCAAAACAGGCACATATACATGTTGCTGAACGTATAGAAATTTTAATTGTCGACAGGGGTGGGGCAATACAATTTTTTGGCACTAAACATCATCATGACAAGTATTTGAAGGATACTGAAAATTATCTTATCAAGGGTTGTTTTGCCATGACTGAGTTGGGGCATGGAAGCAATGTAAGTGAAGCTCTATTTTAATTTTATTACTTGTTATAACTTTGTTCTAAGAGATATCTAAACAGTTGTTGTTCCTGGCTGCCTCCAGGTACGAGGAATTGAGACAATGGCAACCTATGACACAATCACACAAGAATTCATCATTAATACTCCTTGTGAATCAGCTCAGAAGTATTGGATTGGTGGTGCTGCTATGGTTGAAAAGAAATTTTTTTTTTTTTTTTTTTTGAATTTTTGCCTTTGTGTTTTTTTAGAAGCATAAGGCTTATGAATCTTCCAATGCTTTTTTCAGCATGCTACACACGCAATAATCTTTTCTCAGCTCCATATTAATGGTACCAGTCAAGGTGTCCATGCTTTTATAGGTCAGATCAGAGATGAAAATGGAAATATAATGCCGAATATCCGCACTGCTGATTGTGGCCATAAGATTGGTTTGAATGGAGTTGATAATGGACGAATATGGTAGAATTTTAGAAAAACTTTTTTGATATTGTGTGCTCCTTCAAATATTTTTTGTAAAATCATCTGAGAAGTTTTGTTTAACTAGGTTTGACAATCTTCGAGTTCCTCGGGAGAACTTGCTGAACGCCGTTGCTGATGTGCTACCGAATGGACAGTATGTAAGCGCGATAAAAGACCCTGACCAGGTAATGATGCTTAATAACTTTTAGTTTTTGTTGATAAATCATCAGAACAGCTTTATTTTTTAAAATTTTGTATGTTGCCTGGTGCTGAAGTCCAAAAAGCTTCTACTACTCTTTTGTATTATAATTAACTTTGTCAAAACCAGAGATTTGCAGCGTTGTTGGCCCCATTGACATCTGGTCGTGTCACCATCGCTGCCAATGCTGCTTATGTATCAAAGGTCTGTTATATTTTCTATTTTTGACAGAAAATGTGTTTGCTTTTATGCACCATAGTTTGCAGAATAATGCTGATATTATATACATATTTATATCTTTTTATTTTATTTTTCCTTTCTTTCAGATGGCTTTAGCAATTGTTGTGAGATATTCTCTCACTAGACGAGCATTTTCTGTTTCACCAAACGAGCCTGAGACTTTACTTCTGGATTATCCTAGTTATCAGCGGCGCCTTCTGCCACTCATTGCGAAGACGTAAACATCAGTTTTATTCTTTGCAACATAGCATTTTGTGTCATCAATCTTCTGAAAGTCATATAAATTTGATCTCTCTTTCTTTAATGGTTTTATTTGCCATCATTAATAGCATATTATATATTATTTTCATTTCTTCAATGCAACATAGCATTTTGTGTCATCAATCTTCTGAAAATCATATAAATTTGATCTCTCTCTCTCTTTAATAGCATATTATATATTATTTTCATTTCTTCAAGAGCTTTAACTGGTCCTGCAGATGTGCAATGAGCATTGCTGCCAATTACCTGAAGGAGATATATGTAAATAAATCTCCCGATACAAATAAGATAATTCATGTATATTCCAGTGCTTTCAAGGCAGCATTTACCCGGCAAAACATGAAGACACTTCAGGCAAGTGAAACCTTAAGACATATCTTCATGTGTTTTTGGAGTTTTATTTTGAAATTTTAGATTCTGTAATATCAGGAGTGTCGTGAAGCCTCTGGTGGACAAGGCTTAAAGACAGAAAACCGTATCGGGATACTAAAAGGTGAATTCGATGTGCAGTCGACTTTTGAGGGAGACAACAATGTGCTCATGCAGCAGGTACTGTGAATATAATATTACTATATCATACTTTCAATTTTCCATCATCAATAAAATATTTATGTAATCAGGTTAGCAAAGCACTACTATCAGAATATTTATCAGCTCAAAAGAAGAAACAGCCATTTAAAGGGTTGGGTTTGGAGCACATGAATGGTCCTTCCCCAGTTATTCCAGCTAATCTGACTAACCATGCACTTAGGAGCATTGAATTCCAGGTAATATGTTGATTTAATTTCCCAACTATGTACCATTTTTCTTTTCATACAACTGATTCCCTCTCTTCCAGAATGATGTTTTCTGTTTACGAGAGAGAGATCTGCTGAAACGCTATGCTGCCGAAGTCTACCAATATCAACATCAAGGAGAAAGTAGAGAAAGTGCAGTCCTTCTGGTAAAGATTATTCTCATTTACTGTTCTTCTATAAGGCCAAAATACTATTTACGTGGGGTTAGTTTAGTCTTAGAGTTTGCACAAGTGTCAAATTAGTCCCCAAACTTTGAGGACTAAATTGACACTTATATTTACTCTGAGACTAAAATGAATCTCTGCGAAGAGTTACAGGACTATGTCTGCACTTTTCCGCTTCTTTCATATTTAAGGTTATATTATTCAACGCAGTAATCCTTATCATGCTTTTCCTAAAATGTTAGAGCTATCAACTTGCCGAAGATTTGGCAAGGGCCTTTACCGAACGAACTGTACTGCAATTCTTTGTTGAAAAAGCGAAATCTGCCACGGGTCCATTGAAGGTAAAAATAGATTGTTGTATAGAGAATGCAGTGAAATGTTTTTATGGAAACATTGTAGCTGATAACTTAAAACTCTACCAGGATGTGTTGGAGCTATTAAGATCCATGTATGCTTTGATATGTATTGAAGAGGATGCATCATTTCTTCGATATGGGTACTTATCACTCGGCAATGCTGCTGCTGTGAGGAAAGAGGTGATGAAGCTGTGTAGCGACCTAAGGCCTCATGCCCTGGCTGTGGTTAATTCTTTTGGCATCCCTGATTCTTTCCTTAGCCCAATAGCTTTCAACTGGATTGAGGCAAATTCCTGGGCTTCATTAAAGGATTCTTCTTGATTATACTATGGAGCTTAGACGTTTAATATATAATGTCTTTATGTTAAAAATGATTTTAGTCATATTACTGTGAGTGGAATCTTATTCCATTTGTTTCAATATGAATAACTTACCAGTTAAGTGTGATATGTATGGGATTTCTCTAGTTCTGCAAATAAAAAACATTTTTATATTTGGTTCCATGTTCTCTAATTATTGAAAATGAGAAACATGCAAGAAATTCGTTGGTGAAGATGATGAAGTTGTTTTCTTCCTGCTAATTTATATTAGTTTGATATGATGGTCACATAACAAGGTGGTGTTAATATTTGTAATTGTTTGCCATCGTTTTGGAAAGGATTATATTTGAAGCACTTCATTGTGCAATGTGGGCTACCTCAGCAGTAGATTCAAGCTGTTAGGAATGTGCTTGAATTCAGGCTTGTTTATCAATATCCTGTTCGAACTTGGCTCGAGTTCTCTTTAGGCTCAGTTCATATAGTGATTATTTAGCTTATTAGTGTAGCTTGTTTACTAAAATAAACAAGCCATAATCGATCCTTAAAGCTTTGTACGAGTTGCTTGTTCAGAAAAATAAACACATGTATGAAACAAAGTTTGTTGAGCTTAAAAATAAATGTTTAAATTATAACGAGTTTTGATAGAATTTTAATTAAGCTTCTTACCGATTTTGTTCATGAGCTTTAAAAGATACTTTTCATGAACTTGAATGAATCGAACAACACGCTATTTAAGTTTGTTTATTTTGCAAAGCGTTCAAGCTCATTTGGCTACTTAAGAGTTCATAAATGAGCTTTAATCAAGCCAAGTTATGAAATGTTGGTTTTATTTGCACACCTCAAAATTTATAATTGCTCTTGGTAATCTTGGCCTGCTACCTTATCCTTTTTTTGCCTTTGTCAAGTGTATTTTTTATTTCATTCTAATTATTTTTCAAATTTCTCTTATTTGGTTTGATCAAACGCCTAATTTTATACAAACAATCATCTTTTAATTAGTTCTTTAATGCTAACTTATAATTACACTTATATTATTTTATTGCAGTGTGTCTATGAATGTATGTACAATGGTTAAGTATTAAGAGGCTTTATTTTTCAAGGCTTTAGGCCAATTCTTTTATCAAATGCATCATAAATAAAAACAAATAAATAATTTTTATATAAGTTAAAATAAAATAAATATAATATATTTGCATGACAGGATCATGAAAACACGAATCTCATAAAGAAAAGTAGATACACAACAAGATATGAGGATGCTCGCTCAAACTATGCAAATATACATTCAAACACTAGTTTACTTTATTGGAGCTAAAATAAATGCCAAGTTGAGACGAGTATGCCTCAAAATAAAAGTATGCCTCTTGACCAAGCTCATCTATTGCTTAACCTTAATCTTCGACCACCTCCTTCGTTTGTCTGGCGGAGAGTTATTTATTCGTTCAACCTATTATGTTGATGGGTTTGCATACCAAAGGGAGAGATACATGTCATAAATGTATGTCATCAACATAAAAGGATGCACATTAAAAGAATTTGAATGAGATTTAAAATGATTAAATTTAAAAATAATAAAAAAATTTCAATTTAAAGTAGTACATAGAAATAATAATTCTATTTTAATAAAAGATGAAGATTAAAAAAAATTGTCCTCTTTACAGCTAAAATGAAATGATAATCTTAAAGCATGTATTTAGAGAAGTTTGATCAACACTTTAAACACAATCATAAAGTTTCAAAATTTATTAAATTTGTCACTTCTAAAAACACTTGGTTTATTTCCAAACTAAAACTTTTCATATTTACATATAAACAACTAAACTTTAATGTTTACATACATAACACTCATATGTAATTAGGGCTGTCAAAAAAACTCGTTGTTCGCGAACAATTCGTGTTTGGTTCGTCAATGAGTTCGTGTTCGATTCGTTCGATGAGTAAATGAGACAAACATGAATAATTTTTTTTTCGTTCGGTTAGTTAAACGAACCAAACACGAACACAAGCTCTGTTCGTTCGTGTTCAGTTCGTTTACACCCCTATATGTAATATTGCATCAAAACATAACTATTGCTGAAAAATTAAAAAAATGAAATATAACTTTTCTTTATATGATTATGACACTAAAATATTATATTTATAAAAATCAAAATCTCCATCTCATGAACAAAATAGTATTTAGCAGCTTTAATCAGGACCAAACTCTTCTTTTTTGGGCATTTACATAAATTCCACAACTCTTACCTATTTACATTTAACACCTAAACTTTCATATTACATCCCACACACTCAAATCTTTAAAATCACATCAAAAATATCACAATTACTAAGTTTCTAAAAAGGAAATACACATTCTCACAAATAGACGACGACAGCACTGCGTTATAAATGTAAAATATCAAACTTGACCAGTTAAATATGTAAACACATGAGATCTGTGTGGTTGGTATGACAATGAGCCACAACAATTCCAACAATGCAATTGAGACAAGATGATAAAGATAACAGAAGCAAACAAACCAACCACAATAGTACTTAGAATCACAGATCAAAAGTTAAAATCAAAAGTTGTTCTCACTGGATATAATATATAGCACAAACTGGTCGCTACTCCTCCATTTGATGCTCTGCTTGGGGCTGGGAAACCTTGACTTTGATCTTTGGAAGGGTAAGAGAGGGATCCTCTTGAAGGGCGAGCGGTGCCTTGACCAAATGGATGCCTTGCTCCAGTTGTTTCGCCGCAGCCTGCAGCTCGATGGCTTTCTTCCCCTTCATCCTGTGACAGAATTAGAAAAAAAATAAATAAAAAAGCTAAATGGTTCTCAGAGTTTATTAATGTGTCAAATTAGTCCTTCGATATTTTTAATGGGGGCTGATATATAAACTATTTGAGCTCTTTTTAAAATATCTGGAGACTAAAACTAACATTTTTACAGACTCAAACTAAAACGACCCCCCTACAAATGAGTCATAGGACCGTTTTTGGCACTTTTTTCTAAAATCCTAAGAGAATGGAATGGAAAATATGAGAAAACATATGAATTAGCTTGTTAAGAATACAAACCTCATTGTATGATGTCTGGCCTCTCTAGCAACTCTTATCTTGTCAATCTTCTTTATAGCCTTGAGAGTTTCCTCGGCGACATTTCTATCATATCTCTCAGGCCTGTTTCGCTTTCTTTCAAACTCAAAGGTGGAATCCTGATATTGAGAAATAGCAGTGCCAAGACGTTGTTCAAAAATAATGGCAAACAATGCAGCTCACATTATCAATATGATCAAGGAATGTTAACCATGTGAAAAGTTATAAAATTTCGTGCCTGTGTCATATCCTTTCCATGCAAACGTCGATAAGCCTTCGTCCATCTCACCTTCCGAGGATTTCTCTTCATTTTGAAGTTCTTGTGACATTTTGATCTGACATTTTGATCTACAAAAGCGGAAAATCTGCAGGAAAATTGGGGGTTAAAATGGGAAGAGTTGGCGGATGATTAATTTATGCTGGAGTATATATTAAGTTCCAACTACGTAGTTATATTTAACTTAAGAGGAACATATGCAGGGATGTTGAATATAGTATATAGAGGGGTGCGATTTGTTGAATCTTTTGTGTTTAGGTAGAATTAATCACCAAATTTAGTCTTAAATCCAACTAGTTAGAATTTAACCTTATAAATCTTCAATATCATTCATTGGTGTTTAGTGTTTTTAAATTAATAAATTTATTTTTTGCATCTTCTAGCATTACTTGTGAAATCCATAATCATTGAATTTATTTTCCATAACTTTAATATTTAATAGGTGCAGTACAGAGATCATTCACATAAAAGTATTACACAATATGGATGTGCACTGCCTTGTGATGAAATGGAAAGCATCACACTAACATCAAGTTAATAGGAATTTTATGGTTCAGTAGCATCTATGATGTTATATTATATCATTTAAAAATGACAACCATTTGATTTATTTGCATCTTTAAATGACATTTCAAAAAAGATCCAATACTACCCTAATAATATCATGACCCAAGACCACAATTAAGAAGCTAAAATGGTAAGAAGAGAATTCAAGTTTTTTTTTGTTTAATACCAAAATCCTCGTCTCTTCTTACTAAATTAACAACAAAAACAACAACAACAAGCCTTTATCCCATTAAGTGAGATCAGCTACATGAATCCCATTTCTCCAATGTATCCTATTGAGTGTCATATTTTCATTTAATTTTAATAAATTAAGATCAGTTTTTATACAACATGCCCAAGTCTTTTTAGGTCTACCTTCGCCTTTCTTAACATAAGTCGAATCTAAACATCTATTCTCCTAACCGGATAATCAATGGTCGGCATTTAATGTGACCAAACCATCTAAGATGGCTCTGTCACTGGAGCTAAACTAACCCTTTCATGAATATATCCGATTTGCATTTTGTCTCGAGGAGTAAAGCTACTCATCCAGCTAAGCATTCTCATCTGAGCAACACTTAACTTAGTTTTATGCTTCTCTTTTATAGGCCTCAATACCATCTTATAAAATTTTCCTTCCAAGTCTAAGCAGTACTTTTCTATCACACAATAGGGCCAATGCATTCCTCCAATTTAGCCATCCAACTTTAATTCTAATAATAACATCCCCATATATATTATCGTCCCTTTGAGCAATGTACCCGAGAGATCTAAAATGTTCATTCTTTTTAATGATTTGATCACCTATTATTACAACTCTATCTCTGAATCTACTACTACTAAAATTAAATTCCATGTATTCATTTTTTGATCTACTCAAACGAAGGACTTAAGACTCTAAAATAAATCTCCATAATTCACGTTTTTCATAAACTCTTTCTTTAGCATTATCCACAAAAAGGATATCATTAGCAAAAAACATACACCAAGGTAAATCCTCCTATAAATGTCCAGCAAGAGCATCCATAAATAAAGCAGAAGGATTGGGCTTAAAGCCACTCCCAGATGCAATCCAATTGAAATAGAAAAATACTTGGCCAATCATTATTCTAGTCAAAAGTAATAGCCCTAGTATACATATCTTTCATGACTTGAATATAAATCATATCAACACCTTTCTTTTCTAGAACTCTCCAAAGAACTTCTATTAAAACCTTATCATAAACTTTTTTCTAAATCAATAAAAATCATATGTACATCCTCCTTACTCTCTGTACTTCTGCATCAAACATCTCAATAAATGTATAGCTTCCATAATAGACTTGTCCAACATAAATTCAACTGATTATGAGAAATCTTTGTATCATGACTTAAAACCTATGTTCAAATACTCTCTCTCCCATCATTTTAATGTATGACAGATTGACTTGATTCTTCTATAATTTGCACACTCTTATGCATGTCCTTTATTCTTAAAAATGTGAACCAAAATACTCTTCATCTACAGGTCAACCTTATATTTTTTTCCTAATTCTCTAAGATTTTACATCTAAACCAACTTTTATATCAAAACTTTCTATATTTTATTTTTTCTTGCACACAATTATTCAAGAACAAACTATTTTTATTTATAAAAAAAAATTATTTTGTTTCTCTAATACTTCTTTTGTCACTTATTTAATATTGTTTGTTATTTTATTCCAGATGGCATTAGCTACTTCATGAACATCCTAAATCTTCAAATCTTAAAGTCTGCTCATAAAAATACTTTTATTTATTATTAAGTGATCCTCAATCTAATTTTATGATAATATTTCATTATATTTTTTTATCTTCTGACTCTATCTTAAAGTCCAAAACTAATAATCAATATTGAATACTTAAATTTTCACTTGGCATGATCTTACAATCTTTACATTCTTAACAATCTATTTTTCTCATTAAAAAAATAATTTTTTGTTTTATTAGATGCATTCTTATAAGTAATAATATGTCCATATTATTTCTTAAATAAAGTATTAGCAATAAAACAACCATGAGTTAAAGCAAAATTCAATATAATTATATATTCTTTATTAATCACTCCAACCACATAATATTTCTAAAATCTTCCACTACTCTATTAACATATCCATTTAAATCTCCTTAAAAAAAATCTTTCTTCAAGAGGCATTTGTATTAATTCGTCCCGGCCATTTCGCAATTTTTCTTTTCTGTATATTTTTGTACCTACTTGAGGAACATAAGCACTTATAATATTATGAGCCCTAGTATTAACAACAATCTTTAGAGCTATAATTCTATCTTCAACTCTTTTAGTTTTTACAACATTATCTTACAGACTCTTAACCATAATTACACATAAAACATTTCTAATACGACCTCCACCTAAATACCAATTTTTAAAACCTAAGCTATCAATCTCCTTAGCATTCTCTATAATCTAATTAGTTTCTTGAATGCATAAAGTATTTATCTACTTATAAACTATAATATCTACTACTTCCATTAATTTACCTATGAGAATACCCATACTCCAAGATCATATTCTAGCATTAATTTCAAACACTAATTTCTTTGCCGCATTCGTTCATACTGCGGGAGCCCTTACTTATTTAACACTACACCGGACAACCGGTGTAGCGACCCTTGCACAATTTTTACTGTATCCAGTTTATACAATGTGTCAATTCTAGAGAACTCCGTAGCATTTACCGAATAATTTTGAAAGATTCGTGTCATGATCTTTTCACAAAAACTTTATGTTGGTTGTCGATTACCTAACGCAACCCTCAACTTTTCGTCTTCTTCTTACCATTGACCCTCACTTATATTCCACAAGCCGAGTCGATCTGGCATGGCGATAACAACAAACGAAGAATGTCTGTGTGATCAAATTTGGAATGCATAGAGTATATTTGAAATTCATCTCAAATAAAGCCTGTTTAAAAAAAATGGAATCTGACATTGCGTTTAGAACATCAAAATCATCTGAGAAGCCTTCTACTATCAAAAGGAGCAAGAGTGGTGAAATCGAAGGACAGTCGGTGCGACGCGTGAAATTTGGACTCGATTCATCTCAACGACCGTCAAAAACACTCAAATGACTCTCGATTGCAAAACAAATTGTTATACGAGCACATTCGATATATCAAAATTGCCCAAGGAAAGGTCGACTATGATCAAAATGATAAAGCATAATGAAAATGACAAACATTGGAGCGACACTTAATTCGGGCTCAAATTATGTCGATCGTCGTTAAAGTCACTAAGATGACTTTTGATTACAAAACGGATCGAGCGAGCACAACTGGAATGTGAAATTTGTCTAGAAATGATACTCATATTGATATGATTTCGTATACGGACAAATAACACAAATCGAGATATAAAATAAATTTAAAAAATAAAAAAATTGCAAAAACCCTACATCATTTTCCTGCTCAAGCCCATCGCCAATCCCATCCCTCTCCATACTTCCACCTCTATCCCCTCCAATGGAGCTTTCCACCTCATCTAAAAATGATAAAAAAATAAAACAAAATAAAATTTATAACCTAATATTCACTCTCCCGCATTCCCCTGCCTCAGTCCACATGCATTTTCGGCCACATCTTCACAATGTCTTCCCTTTTTGACCTCAGGCGATGCCGTCGGCCTTACCTCTCCCACTCGTGAAACCCTAGCCCCTAAACGTTGCCGTTTTCCAATCGCGACATTCCAACCGCCGGCTCACTTTCTGCTCTGCCAACGCCGGTGAAGGAGCTCGCAGCCGCCGCCTGAGCCTGTCGGAGCCGTAGGCCATTAGAGCCTCCTTCCACCTCTCCTGCACTTTCCCCTCTCTGAGACCCAACTCCATCCATGAACCCTCTCTCTCCTGCCACTCTGTTATTCCCAAAATCTGAAGGTGACCGATCTCCAGGCTCTTCTTACCAATGAACAGCCCAACGAGCCCTCTGCCCTTCCCCTCAGCAATGCATCTTCCACTTTGAAACCTGCAGCTCCAGTGGATGAGCAGCCCGCTGCCCTTGTGCATCTTCCCCTCAGCTTATGATACCTGCTTTCCTCAACCCAGACCAGACATTCCCTCCGCTTGGCATTTGCCTACATGGCCGATGTTGAGCAAAAGGCAGCTAAGTAATATACTATTGGTGAGAGAGATCGTATTAAGAAAGAAGCCTCATATGAACAGATATATGCTTTCCATTAGGACAAAATTGATGAAGAGCATTGGTCTTTGAAAGCTGCTAGAGTTTTAGAGATGAATCAATGCGGGAGTGTGATCTGGAAGAATATTACAGACGTTGAGTGATTAAGGCACAAGAATTCTGGATATTTTATTATTCTGATGTAGCTAAAGAAGATCAGTCGCTCAAGATTTTCAAGAAAAAAAAAGCCCATAGCAAGAAGATATTCCTGTTAGTGATATGGAACAAAGTCCTTGGCTGGCTTTTCTTGGAGCCACAAGTTAAGTACCAAGCCGGAGAAATTTTGTATGTTATGTACTTTAATTTGCAGGTACCTCAAGCCCCATGCACGCTT